TATATATATATATATATATATATATAAGTGAATGGCTGTTTGTTCCAAAAAGGCTTTTACATGGATTGATGGATCTTGACCAAAATTGGAAAATATATCCATCATTATCCGGAAGGAACTCTTAAGGGGTTATGAACTTTTTATTAAATTCTGTTTGGGGCCGGGGGTCCCGAATTCGTTTTTTTCCTTATAAGAGCTATATACATAAAATTAACAACAAATACTCCCACATGAATTGATGGATCTTGACCAAAAATATTACTCTTACACTTGCTTATCCATATTCAAATACAGAAGGGTACTGAACTTATAATATCCATTTTTCCTTATATAATCTATATGAACATCATTAGGGTTAGCCAACGATATTGGCTCTATGTGAATTGATAGATTGGCATTTTTAAACCGATTTTAATGTGAATTTTTTAAAAATAAACTCTTTAATTTATCTGAATTTTTTAGCCCCCCTCCTCCCCATCTCAGACGAAACTAAAAGGTACTTTATTAAATGGGCCCCTACTGTAATTAAAAGGTACCATAGTTATAGTAGTGCAAACAAGTTGTATAAAATTTTTGTATTTGAAAAATAATTACTTAGAAAATTAATTTTTTACAGGTTTCATGGAGGATATTAAATTAAATCTAGACTCTTCCAGAAGGTTCTATATTGTTCTAAGGGTTTTTATAACGTGATCTAAAAGCTAATTCGAAAAAAATTGCACTGAGCATGATCCCATACAGGAATAAGATCCTAATGTGGAGCGAGATCCATTAGTTAACTGGAAACCATCGGTAACGTGATACCATCGGGTAAGGGGATCAAACCGGGACCCTATCGGGAAACGGGATACAATTGGAAAAGAAGGTCCCTAGGTGAAACGGGATCCCATAGAGAACGGTATCTTAACGGGATCGGTAGCCCATTGGGATCCACCAAGATCAGGATCCCACCGGAATCGAGATCACACCTGGAAACGGGATTGCGCCGGGATCGGCGTCAGAATAGGATTGGGGTCCCAATGGGATCGGGGTCCTAATGCAATCCCGTGCCACGCGGGTATATTGGCTAGTAAATTTATAAAATCTGAAACATCGAAAAAGAAACCAATACATTTGATAAAATTAAAGCTCATAATATTTTTCATTAGCTAAAAGGTGTCATACCTGCTTAATATAGGTTCTACATACATTTTTTAAACAAATAAAAAACGTCCAGAAAATGATTACATTTTCAACAAAATATTTTTGAAATATTTTTTTTTAAATATTGAACTTTTGCAAAATATTTAGAAGTGACACCTATTTTTTTAATGCATTTTACAAACTGGCAAGAAATAAACTTATGAAGTCAGAGGGCAGCAAAGAATTTTAGTAGATCTGATATCAGAGCAGTCAATTGTGCCGTTCAAGCGAAGATTTTCGCTAAGTTTATACAAATCTCTACCGGTACTGATGATTTTGGCGGATTCTAAGTAAGTGAAGTTTGTTGATAGTATATTCACTTTTGTATAATCTTTTTAACTTTAATGATAGTTTTGTGTGTGAATGGATAAAATAAAATCAAGGACAAAAAAAAAAAAAAAGTAGGGCGGATTGGGGGGGGGGGGGGGGTTTAAA